TTATAAAAAAAAGATGTTTTTTTAATATTTTCTAACAAATAATAAAGTTTTTGTAAAAAAAATTATTGTATACATAACTACATACATATCCTCCTGATCACCACCGCAACTGCCTACCTAAGTGCTCTAACATGTAGCAAATGCTCAGTACTTATTTACTAGCTAGAAATTACATTTCCCCTATTTATTGTTCCACCCCCCCCCACTCTTCTTTGCTATTTATCTGGTAATCCCCTCTTACTTACAGCACTTCCAGACTCTGCAGCATGCCAAACACATCCGCTTCAAAGGTTTCAATACGATTGCCGCGCAGGTCTCTGCAAACAAACAACAACAAAAAAAAAAAGTACAGTTAAAGAAACTTGCGATTCTTCCAAATTCTATAAGCCAACATAAATGCTCATGTATGTGTGTAAATATACGTATATGTATGTAGTTGTAAATATGCCTTTTAAGAGCCTACTGTACTTCAAAGTATATCGAAAGAAAATGATTTATGGCAATTCTATAATTTGTCTTCATTAAAATCATCTTGAGCTAAAATGTTGCCTTAATGGTTGTGGATGTGCTTCGGTGTATAATTTTAAGCGCAGTTACTTAAATATTCTGTGAGTATTTGAAAATACACCGTGTTAACGATAACATATACTCACAATTCAGTCAAACGCTCCAAATGTTGAAAATCGTAGTTATGCAGTTCTTTTATGCGGTTTCCTGAAACGATGCTGGAACGGAAAGAACATTTATTACTCAAATTTGGATACTATTTGAAAAAAAATTGAAATAAAGAAAAAATAAATTAATGCAGTTTTTATGAAACAGGTGGCAGCATTAAAGACACATGTTATACAATCTGTTTTATTTGATATCTATTTTTCATTATTGAAATTAGTTAAAGAATTAAATTAGAAATTAGAAGTTATAAATAATAGGTGGCAACTATTTTCGTGTCGTATGTGTTCCTAAAAACTTTTATATTTTAAATTAAAATTTTATAATCAAAAATAAATAAAACCGTTTTTGAAACCGGTGGCAACACACTAACTGGTTTTCTCGATGTCAGGTCACATTTCATTGGAAAAGGTAAAATCGGTAATAACCGATAATAATTATATTTCAAAATATAATAAAAAATCTATATAACACAACTTTAAATTCCAGCTGATTCACTCACTTTCCATTATACCTGACAGAGATTAACCTTTGCACACAAAGTGCCTTTAAGTGTGTCATCTCAAGCCTGAAAATTGTCGAGATCGGAACATCACTGTTGAAGTCCTCAGATACCGAAGATGTGAACGCCAGTACCCAAAACTGTCTTTTTTACCTAACATATAATAGTATGAGCGTTTCGTATTAAAGGGTGTCCGCAATTTCTTTCTGGCGGTTGCAAACTACATGACAAACCGAATATACCCTTCTCACGTTATAAATGCTAACAAAAATTATAAAACATATTTAAAAACAAATTTCTACTCGACCGAATGTAAACAATTGGATCACATAGTGTAAAAAAATGGGTCACTGACCTTGTGAAATGTAAGCAAAGGTTGTGAACTTCGCTGAATATAAACAAAAAGGTCATTGACTTCATAAAATGTAAACAAGTGGGCCATTGGCCTCATAAAATGTGAAAAAGGAGTCACTGACCCATAAAATGTAAACAAAAGGGTCAATGACGCAATGGTTGTTGACTTGGCTAAATTTAAACAAAGGTTGTTAACTTCGCTGAATATAAAAGGTCATTGACTTCATAAAATGTAAACGAAGGGGTCAATGACCTCGGCAACATATAAATAAGCATCGTTGACCTCATAACGTAAAGAAATGGGTCGCTGACCCCATAAAAGGTAAATACAGGTTGTTAACTTGGCTAAATGTAAACTGAAAGGCATTTGTCTCTTAGAAAAACAGTTGTAAACGTTCTGTTTTCCCGAGAAACTTCTTATTACTCGGAACCGTATGACAACACCATAAGATATTACTGCCATACAAAGCAACCGGTTGATCTTCAAGAAAATTATCATGGATTCTTGTCTAAGGCAAACTTCAATCTACCAATAAATTGTTCATATTAGAAGCAAATCAATCAATATCAAGATAAAAATCTTTTTAGATCATTTTATGCTATTAAAATTGCCCCTTTAAAGGGTATTAGAGCTTCGGTGCTGAAGCAGCTGAAAATATTTTCGAGCCTAAATTTCCCTAAAACGATTGTAAAGAAATATTCTTATAAATTTTATTAAATTTGTTTTGTTAAACTGGTTGCAAGTCTCGCTTTAAACATTCTCCTCTACATCAATACTTTAATTGAATTATGCAACCAATTAACGGAAATTAAAATTTAGCCAACAGTGTCAACGTAAACTTGTTTGAATCGTGTTTGGGCACCACAACAACAAAACGCAGCAAGTTTGTGCCAAGAAATATGCGTCATTCCACTCGCTTGTAGATAAGTGCAGTTCAGCATTGCAAGTTCATAAACTAAACCGCACAACAATTGCGCGGCAAACAATGGCACGGGCTGCTTGTGGGCGTAGAACCGCCCACTGCTAACCGCCGAACAAATGCGTCCCAAACTTTCACGTTCTCGGCTACTTTGGCCCACGCGCAACACGAAATCGGTGCAAACAACTGACGATGCCGACACTATTTTTCCAGAATTAAGTTTCAAACTGCAACCACAAGTACAAATTTGTAAAATCTCCAGCTTTGTTGAGGCAATTTTATTGTAGTCAAGCGAGTTGACTAGCTAATAACAAGTATGACAGGTCATTATAATTATGATTTAGGCAAATTGTGTGTCCTTTGTGCAGGAATCTGTAAAGTAAAGGTTGTTATTTACTCTTCACGAACAGCGATACAATGGCGGTACGTGGATTTGTGTGTGTGTGGTGTGTAGCTGACGACTACAGTTACAAGGGGGCCACATTTCGCTTTTTATATTGCATATCTTGAGGCACGTGCAGTTTGTACGGCCATATAAGACTGGTACACCGGTGGGTATGAGTAACACACATGCAATTTGCGTGACAAAATAAGTAATTTAGTATATTAGGTGGGGAAGTTAATTACTTCTCCAAGTAATAATGACATTTTTATTAGCATTTATGAAAAGTTTTCCTTCATGATTATGCTAACTCATGTGCTGCTTGATAAAAGTTGGCGCTCATAGAAATTAAAAGCAAAGTCACATGAGATTTCCTAGTAAAATTTAAAAGTATAATCACGTGCTCTACCAACGGAATTTGTAAAGCTAAAGTTTTAGCATAAATTAGTAGATTGTTGACACAAATTCTGAATTTTTATGATAGTTGAGAAAGCACACGAACAGAGACGCATAGAAAGATTTCTTGGAACTAAAATTATTTTATATCAAAGTATACATAAGTATGAAATTATTCTTTTTAACTTGCATGGCAGAAAGCATTGTCAGCAAAGAAGATAACTCTGGAAAAGTTGAACTTATTGTGGCGCTTTAAGAACTGAAAGAAATCTGAACAAACAATCTTTGAAAACTACTGGAAGGGACGCTGCCTCCACACTTTTAGAACTCTTTTGCTTCAAAAAAAGTTTACATACAAGATTTTGGTTGATCGATCAGTTTGTATGGCAGCTATATGCTATAGTGGTCCGATCTGAACCATTGTTTTAGAGAATAATTTATGTCAAATTGCGTGAAGAAATGTCTTCGAGTTAAAAAGTTTTCAATACAATGACTTGATTACGAACGCTCGGTTTTTATGGTAGCTATATGCTATAGAAGTCTGATATCGGCGTATTTGACAAATTAGCGGCTTTTTGGGGACAAAATGATGTGTGCAAATTTCATATCGATATCTCAAATATTGAGAGAGTACTTCAGCCATATAAAGACAAAGAGATAGTCAGATCGTCACGCTGAGCATTTACGCTACTATGAGCAAAAAATAGTAAGACTTTGTTCATAATTTTAAAAAATACTGAAAAGCAAAGAAAAATGCAAATGGAAGAAATACTTTTGTACAAACGAGAACACAAATTACTTGGAAATAATATCTTCATGACTACGATGCGTTTGTGTCTGACATTTATGACTACGGAAATGGCCGACAAAACACAGCAGCAACAACTAAAGACCTGTGCGTGTGTACGTAAGTGAAATTGCAGGCGTAGTTGCAGAGCTTAAGTAATGCAAAGGCGGTCTATAAAAGACAGGCGACACCACGTAGACGGAAACAAGAGCGCAATTTATACCGAACAGGCATAGTATCGCATACAGAAATGCAGCGCAGTATGAAACCATGCATAGACATCAAGTCCGGCCACATTTATGTGCATAGAATTTCAGTTAGTAAGCATTTCACTGCCGGCTAGTGCATTTAGTTGGAGCTTAAATGGCTTATAACGGACATTTATATGCAAAACACTGTCGCCGTTTATGCAATTTCAGAAAAACATAACACCAATCTATGTATAGCACACGTTATTGTTGTGTATATTTCATGTCACGTGTAGTTTTTTCAATGAAAAGTGCAGAAATACACGCTCGTCTTGCACTCATTTCACTAAAATGGCACACATTTGCTGCAACTTAAGTCATAAACGGCGTAATTTGATAGTGTTATCTGTGAAATGTCACTTTTACTGCAGCGCACACACGCTTTCTTGTATTTTAGTAGCGCGTTGCGCCATGGCGTATACGCAACTTTCGACTAATTAAGCGATTTCACCACAACAACGACGGCAACAACGCTTTGTGGCACACTTTTTATTAATTAACCATAAATATTGTACAACAACAATATTGCGTTTGCTGCGCTTGTTAAAGTGAGAAATCAAGTATCGCGTGCGGCGTGCCGTATACGTAACATGCACAGCGCTGGCGCACGTTTGATACAATAAACCGCAAACTTGTACGCTGGTAGCTGTGTAGGTGTCTGGTAAAGCGTGCGCCGTTGTAAATGCCAAAAGGACACATATTTTACGCATAATTACCTCTAACGGTGCGCTCTAGTGTCTGTGTGTGTGTGTGGGCGCTTGTGTTTCAAGCGTACAAAATGAAAGGAACCACTTGTAAAGAAATGATTAATAGAGTGTATGCAAAGGCACGATTTTACGGTTAGTTGAAGCTCATTCACTTTTCATATGAGTGCCACTTGAGCAAACACTTTTGACTAATGAGGCAAGCAAAATGTGTACGCAACTAACATTAATTATTTGCGAGGAAGACATATTTATGAAATTTTAATAACAATATAGATTGCACTAAAGTGCATATTTTTTAATTTAAAATTAAAATATTATCTTTGTACGTTTTTTCACAATTAAGAAATTAAGTAAACATACTTAATATAAATAAATATTCATATAAATACATAATATAGTTAACAAGAGAATAATATGTAGCAATATTGAAGTTGAAATAATGGAGCAAAAAATCACTAAAATTTTTTGTTTGTTTCAGAAATAATTTAGCATTTAAAATACATAATTTATTGAAAGGTACTGAATATATCTATAATTACGATAAGCAAAACATTTTTAAATACCAAAAATCCAAAAATTTTAATAATATTTTATATTACGAAATATTTATACTCACAGCGTTTTTAGGGAATTTTCCGCCGAAAATAAATTTTCCGGTAGGTTGGTGATTTTATTCTCATCCAAATAGCTTAAAGAGAGAAAGACATAAGTTTAAAAATATGCGTTAATTAATACGTCTTTAAATAATAAAAAATGCTCTAAATAAGGAAGTTTAAAAATATTTTAGTAAAAAAAATGTATTAAAAATTAAAAACAGACAAAAAAAATGTATAATAACAAT